CAGGGCCTTGGCCCCAAACCCTCCTGCTGAGCCCCACCAACCTACAGCTCCAAAATCACCTCGGCATTGCTGAGGCAGGACATRCAGCTCAGCTGACACCTTTCAACCAGGATTTTTTGGAAGATATAGGGCTACATTTTAGCCCTTGAACATGCCCCCAGAAAGCAGGTGTTTTGTTTCCCAAAAAGCACATAATTCTATATCCACAGGCAGTTAACAGGACAAGGGGGAATCGCTTCAAACTGAAACTGAGTAGGTTTAGATGGGATATTAGAAAAGAAATCTTCCCTTTGAGGGTGGTGAGGCCTTGGTACAGAGAAGCTGTGGCTGCCCCACCCCTGGAAGTGTCCAAGGCCAGGTTGGATGGGGTTTGGACCACCCTGCAATAGTGGAAGATGTCCCTGCCATGGCAGGGGTGGAATGGGGTGGTCTCTGGGGTCCCATCTGGAATAAAAACAGAGGAATGAATCCTGCCATCCCAGGGTGGGATGTAGGGTGCCTCATCTCCCTTCCTGACCCTGCTCTCCCYGGATGAGGTCCTCCCAACTTCACAGCTGTCGGTGAGCAAAGTGCTTCGGCATCCGCTCGAATTCCAAGTGCTTGCCCAACTCTACGGATGTTGGTGGGACTGAAGCACGGTGATGTCAGGCAGCAGCAGGATTAGGTTTAAAAATAAGCACGGACTGAAACACTTGGCTAAATCAGGCTCTGAAAATCCGAGGGAAAGAAACAACAAAAATAAAGGCGCTCCAGCGGCACGCTGGTCGCTTGGCCGAAAAAGCAAGCGGGGTGGCTTTTCCTTACTTGGTGTGCCAGAAAATAACATCACAAAGTGCAAAGTCTTCCACAGCTCTCCAAAAATACCAGCCAGCACCTGAGACCACAAAGCTGCTSGATGTCCAGGAGTCACAGGCACCCTCCCCTCTCCTACATTTTGCCAAGCGCAGAGCCCTCGCTGCCTTCTCCGGGTTCCTCCCTCCAGGTATCTTTTTATAGGGAGCACATTCCTCCCAGGAGAGCCAAGGCCAGTTCCCTTTCTGTTCCGAAAACTACATTTTGTTTGGTGTTCAGGCATTAAAAACCTGCACGATACAAAAGAACCTCTCTAGGACAGAGCAAGCAGAGCTGGGAAGCTCAGATGGGATCAGCAGAAGGTCGAGGTGCTGCATGCTTGCCGTGATTAATTGGTATCTGCTACCAATCCAAGCAGGTGATCCAAGAGATGTGATTGCAGATAGTCCTGTGGCCAGAAACTCCTTGGAGATCCATTACTCACTGAAACGAGACAGGCTGGGAGAACTGGGATTGTTCAGCCTGGAAAGCAGATTGTTCTAGGAGACCTTAGAGCACCTTYCAGTGCCTGAAGAGGCTCCAAGAGAGCTGGAGAGGGACTTTGGATAAGAGAGAATGGCTTCCCACTGCCAAAGGGTGGGATATTGGGAAGGAATCCTTCCCTGTGAGGGTGGGGAGGCCCTGGCACAGGGTGCCCAGAGAAGCTGTGGCTGCCTCTGGATCCCTGGCAGTGTCCAAGGCCAWGCTGAATGGGGCTTGGAGCAGCCTGGGATAGTGGAAGTTGTCCCTGCCTGTAGCAGGGGATGGAACAAAATGGATTTTAAGGTCTATTCCAACCCAAACTGTTKTATGATTTAGGAAAGCAAAGCTCTGCAGTTTACACCCTGTTGCAGAAGAGTCTGTGGCAACATGTCAGAGCTGGCCCAAAAGCATCACTGAAAGCCAGATCATTATTTAACTGCTTTGGTTTGCACTTATATCTTGTTGAACTGCCTGAACTACAGCAATATGTTCTTTTTTTACCTCCAAAAGGACAAGTTTTTACTAATGGGGATGAGGAGAGAAAAATCAGAGCCTTTCCCTGTTAACTTTGGGAACACAGACTGAAAGCACCCTGCCTTTCTCATAAGGCTTCCCTTTCCAGCTGGGAGGCAGATGGAAGCTGACACCCAGTCCTGCCTGCTCAAATCAACAGAGAAAGGAAAAATAAAAACTAAAAAACTTCAGTTGGCAKCTTCCAGTGCTAGAAAGACATGAGTCTGGGGGTGAGAAAGAAGGCCAAGAAGGCAAAGTGCAGATTGGATTGGGTGGGGGAGCATTTTGATTGCACAGCAAATATCGGAATGGGACAAAGGGAAAACATCACTCCAATTGCTCAAGAGAGGATTTGCGTGCGGTGGGAGTGAGGTGGGAGCAGCCTCACGCACAGAGAACAGTGCCAGGAGTGCAAACACCCAGCCAGCCACGACAAAACCAAGRAGAGCCCTGCAGGAAGCCAGGCTGTGATCCTTGAAGTGTCCCAAGGTAAAGCCGAGCTTCCTGCGGGATGAGCACACAGCGCCCGCTTCCTCCCTCTGCCAGGACAGCCAGTCCTGTGTCCTCTGCCGGTCACGTTCCTCGCTGCATCGCTGGGATGATGGATGGAGGAACGAGCCCCTGTGCCAACAGAAGGAATAAACAGATGACTGCATCAGGAGTCACCTCTGAAATGGCAGCAGAAAGGAAACGAGTGGCGCGTTTGCAGCAGGCAGCGACTGCGCTGCTGCCTGGCTTCACTTCCCCTAGCAGCAGGAAACAATCAGGTCATTTAATGCCAAACCRTGCCTCCAGCAGCGTCAGCAGCCTCAGGGAAGCCCCAGTGCTGGTCTCCTGTCYAGCTCCGTCCTGTCTGGGGTCAGGGTTATGATGAGGAGAGGGCAGGGAAACACAGCCATCCATTGCAGTGCAGGGAAGGTGCTCATGGGCAGCTCCAGGGTGCCCAGTGCCCTCCTCAGCAGAGCCAGAGATGCCCCAGGCTGAAGGAGCCATAGTTTGGGAGTGGGAAAGCCAGCGCTGGCAGAAAGAAGCTGACCTCTTGAAAGTRGAGAAAAAAGGAAGAGAAGTACACAGAGAGGCTGCCAGGGCAACCGCAACCCATCCTAGGGCAAGGYTCCTGCTTCCCCTAGCCTAGCCTGAACCACTGAACCAAGCAATAAAAAACAAATCACAGCACAGAACTTCCCTTCCTCCTCCACACCACCCACCTGTTAGTTCAAGGGTTCATGAAATATTACATTTTTATTGCAGAAAGCCCCTCGAGGGCTGGTTTCCATCTCTGCTGCAGCTCCAAGGCTGCATTTTCAGCTTCAGCACCACAACGATGAGGACCAAATTGAAAAGGAAGATTTTCCAGCACAGAGCTGAGCTCCTTGGGCTGTCACAGGCCTCCAGCATGTGTGGTTTGAGGCAGCACACGCTGAAAGCCCTTTGCAAAGCTGCCGGGAGAGATCTGTGTTTTGCAAGCCCTGTCCGGCCCGGGGATGCTGCCATCAGCTCTCGCCTCCTGACAAGTGACGGTGAACAGCTCTGATTCGGAGAGACAACTCAAAGCACACAAAGCACTCAAAGACAACTCAAAGTGCTTCACGTGGCCTYCTTCAGCTGGGCCACCCAGGGTTTTAACCATTCTCTGCCTTTGTTCACCCAAAGACACAATCACAGAATTGTTAAGGCCAGAAAACACTTCCGAGATCTTTGAGTCCAACCTGTGCCTGATCACCACCTTGTCATCCAACCCAGAGCGCTGAGTCCTTGGACACTTCCAGGGATGAAGGAGAGAGAGACACAGCAGCAGAAAGGTGTAAGGTCTTGTSCACCTGCATGGCAGGGCATTTTTTGTCAATCCCAGCAAGCTTTTCCAACAAGCAATAATACAGCAACAATCCCAGCAGGTTCCGCTGAGGAAAGGGCTGCCAGAGCAATCAATTTGCTGTTTTCAATGCAATGAGAGCTTTTAGACTAAATCARTTGGTGGTGGAATTAGGAATATTAYCCGTGCAGCCAATAATTATAGAAGATGTGTCTCTCCTTCACAGTTCATTTCCATCTTACCCTTTCCACTAAATAAAGGTGTTACCAGTGGATGTTATTTGCTGCTTCATAATCCGCTGTCAGAGGCATTATTGCTGTTTGTATGAGAGTGTGCCAGAATGTGACCGTGAGGGGGATAAAATCAAACCCTGAGCCAGAAATCCTGCCTGGAGCAGAGAAGATTTTTCAGAGGCATTAATTTTTACATAAACATTATTCATAAACTTCTCCCATCGTCACAGTGCACTCTCAAATCAGCAGTGAGACAYGAACGTGGCAGGGGTAGGTTTTGACAGGAGCCTTGCTGTGGAAATCCGCATCAGCAGCACTGGCAGCCTGGAGATACAGAGAGAGGAAAGCAAGGAGTTGGAATTACGATGATGGGATCCCCCCCAGCTTCACTTGCTTCCATGGGAAAGAGTACTGCATAGGTGTAAAACAACTGTTACAACCCAGTAAGAAATAAAAAATTCATTAAATCATAAATCTTTKGGAAAGGGGATCTACTGGGGAGATTATATTCACTTTTCACGGACATATTAATTCAACGGTGGCATATCATATTGTTCTCTGCTGGGGGAAGAGATGTATTGTTTTAAAGTCTGATATTTAGAGCAGTCCTTGAGGAAGGAAAGCAAATATAATCTTGGCAGGGAAAACCGACTGCGTGAGCACCGAGGAAGGGACATTAAACGCAGGGCCCAAGTCCCAGCTGCTGAAAGTCAGCACAGTTTGACTGCAACTCTTGGAGCTAAGCCCGTGCATGGGAGCTGAGAGTGAAGGTCACCTCCATTTAGCCACAACTCCTTGAAAATGTTGAGTAAATGAACACAAAGGGTAATTTTTTACCGTGAGTTGTTTGCCCACTGGCAAACAGGTGAGAAAACAAAGACATTACAGCTGCTTTGATGGTTGGTGGTTGGGAACCATCTGGCCATCTCCTGGATTGCTCCTGGCTCAGCAGAGGAAACCAAGCTCTCCTGGCTCTCAGACCTCAGGATTTGGGGAGAACTCAACAGCCAAGAGCAAAAGATGGGCTCACCAAAATCCTGCTCCAGCTRCTCCCCAACCTAGCTGTTGGGATGTCCATCATCCCTACATGTCTGCTCTTCCATTCTCTCAGAGGGTCCAGTGGCGACATGTGCCAGATGCTCCTGCTGCAGATCCAGCCCCATCTCAGCCCAAATTGCATCATGTGGAGGCAAATAAAGGGACTTTTCGTGACAGACACCATACACAGAGCGTATGGACAAAGCTCCTTACAAAGGCAGCTTCCACAGGTGTGGTCACGCTCCCCTCTGTCTCCTCACCACACAAATCTCATGTTCCTTTGAAAGAGGAGCATCCCTCCTCCCTTTATGCCTCCGTGCCTGTGTCCTGAGCATGTCTTCCTTCTTGAGAAACCTGGAGATAACCAACAAACCACAAAATCGCTACAGGAAGGTTTTCACCAAAACCCACATGACATTAGTGTAAAATAACTGCTCGTGCCCATGGCCTTCCCCTGTGCTAACTCACCACCCAAAGSAGTTTATTCCAAGGGAACAAGGAACAAGCTTAAGCTCCCCACACAAGATAACAGGGACCGCTGCCTGTTTGACCCCATCATCATCTAAGGCAGCTCAGGCACAAATAACCCAACCTGGCCTGTCAGGAAAGATGGGATTTGCATATCACTCCAGCTGCCCAAGAGAACTCACACCTATGAGCTCCTGCTGGACTCCCCGCTCTCCTCCTTCCCTCTGCCCAGCTGTCTCACTGACAGCTTTCCCAACATCCATCCCAACCTGAGGCATCACCAAACTGCACATGGGGCTGCTCCTGGGTAATGACACGAGCAGATAAAATAAAAAAAGGGCTGATGAAACATTAACCACGAGCAGGCAGGACAACAAAGGCAGCGCTCCCAAACCACAAAGACTCTTCAAGCAGCATTAAGTCAGCTGGACCTTGGTTGTGTATTTGCTGTGTGGATTCCATACCTCCTTGAGATGAAAAACAGGAATAAGGCCCTATTTTTTAACATGCCTAGGCAAGGCTCCCAGTTGAAACAGGCAAGTTATACCAGCCAAACACTAGGACATTTAATTTCTGTTCCTGGGGTCCTCAGCAATGGCTTTAGGTTCAAGACACATGGGCATCAGTTCATAGCCCAAAACCACAGGAAGCCAGAGAGGTCTCAGACTACTGAAATTATCCAATGTGAGCATGAGAAGGAGTCAGTCTGGGCTTTCACTTCTGTCCAGGGCCCCTGGAAAGTTAATCCTAGCTGATTACACCACTTCTTTTCTTCTTTTTTTTTTTTCATYGAAGAAATAAACAGTCTTTTGTACCAAACATAAGGCTGCCTTATTTTGAAGGAAGATTTATCACCCAGGCTAAATCCATGAGTTCATAACATTTTTGTCCCAAATCTTGAAAGCAGCGTTTTACACTTCATGACACAGTATCAGTTGGTTCTGCCTCTGTGCCTGGCAGTCCCCAAAGACATCCTACTTTTCCTTACAAAAAAAAAAAAAAAAAAAAAAAAAAAAAAAGAAATTGAATAATAAAAGAATGCAGACCATCTCATCAGCTGTTTAAAGCCTGCACAGCAAATTTCACACATCCATGAGGACTAGCTTCCCTTCAGACCACAAACACCAGCAATGTGCTGAGGCTTGGAGAAATGTGGTCTAGTTGAAGATGTCCCTGCTCATGGAACAAGATGAGCTTTAAGGTCCCTTCCAGTCCAAACCACCCTGGGATTTCGTGGGGTGACACTGCTYAGTGAAGTGACTGATGGGTGACAAAATCTGCTGAAATAAGGATTGCTCAGTGCCTTCCCTGCACCAACAGGGGCTCTGTTGTACTGAGCCCAAACCTTGAACTCATTACAATGTCACTCTGTCTTTGGATCCCGTATCCTGTGGGGGAATCTTCTGGGAATGTATTTTGGTTCAGGCTTGGGTCAAGGAGAGTTGACTTGACCTGAAAATAAATCCAGGCRATCTCGAGCTGAAGAGCCATTGACTACTGTTTGCAATACAATAAAGGGAGCAGATCAAACTCGGCTGAAAGCCAGGGTTAACATAAATCCAGGGAGAAAGGGGAACAAGAAGATTCATTCACCACCGCGACAAAGGGGACATTTTTTACATTGGCACAATTCAGAGCAGGGGCTGAAAGCGCTTCCCAGGCAGCAATTTTACTGTCCCATATGGTGTGTGCTGTTTAGCTGTGCTGATATCTCCAGCAGACTGGCAGCAAGATAAGAGCTACCTCACTCGGATGCGTGTGAAAAAGGGGTTGTGGGATTTTAAATTTTTTTTTGCCATTTTTAACGTCACTAGCAGGAGTTCCTCTGCTTGCATACAGGGCAGCTTTTGTGAGAGGTATTTTATATGGATCCCCAAGGAAAGGTCTCAGTGGCTGGGCTCTGAGCTCTATTGTGTGCACGTGTGGGCAATAACTCTCAGCAGCTTTTGCTTTACAGTCCAGGTTGTACTGACTGCAGCTCCRGGATGAAATCTTCTCCTGGCTCGCTGTACCACTGCCTTCACTGAAGTCAGCCTTTCTCCCCTTCCAGGAGCTTTTACAATGTCTGGTGGATAAAGCAAACTTYAATCCAACTGAGAATTCCCAGATCTGTGCCGCAGGGAGCCCAAGTGCTGCTCCCTATGCACTGCAATACATCCTCAGAAAAAAGTGTTTCCCCCGCAGCTTTCSTCCTTCCCAGAGCTCAGATCCAGAAGCAGCAGCTTGATCCACCAGCTCTTTGCCCGTAACACAAACCCCACTCAGTCATTTTTCCAGCTCCTCAGCGTGGCTGGTTGTCCAGTGAATGCTGAGGACGATCCTCTGCCCACCCAGCAGCCCAAACACAGTAATTTGGTCATTTTCCCAAATTCTCAGCTTTAACAGCAAAGCTGTCCCACAAGGATCTAATGAATGCATCTTCCACAACGAGCTGTGGGTAGTGACAACACGTAGTGATGCTTGTACATCACCTTTTAATGTCCTTTAGTGATGCTTGGACGTCACTTTTTTATGTCCCTGCTAAGTCTCCCCAGCACGAGTTGTGTTTGTTTCCAAGCCAGAGCAGCTGGTTCATCTCAGGATAAATATTAAATGGAGTTTAGKCCTTCTGCTGGCATTCATGATCCTCTCCATTTTACTGTAAGGAGCTGCTCAAATCCCTCCAGTCTTCCCAGACAAAACCAGCCAGGGTAGCTGCTCTCAGGAGATGARGGCAGCCTCTGTGGGAAGATGTGASTGCCACATTCCTCATTTGAGTGCAACTATTTCTAAACACAGCTCAGGGAAAGCTGCRTATTTATTTTTTTTATTGCATTAAAACCCATTTTATTAACCAACTTGTACTTTAATGTGGATGATGCCTTTGTTTGTAGAATAAATTATGCTTTTTCTTCCCCWTCTCCCACTGTGATTGCATGATTCCTGGTCAGATTGTATAATGTTTGATCTAAGAATGTATAAACTCCACTAAACAAAGCTGCAATAGAAAGTTGAATAATAAGTCAAGACTCCAACCTCTCTCAGGGAAAAAAAAAGGTGAGTTTGACAAAGTAACATGCTGAGAGAGCCTGGGAATCTTTCTGATGGAATGAAATGTTTTAAGAGGGGCTGAATATTCCAACTCAGCATTTCCCATCTGGGCCCTTGAAAAGTGACAGGAACTTCACCCCTGACTCAAGCGAAATGTTCACGAATTGGGATTTCTTTTACCACTGTGTGAAAATTAACACTTTCACTTGCAATTAGCAGCAGCACAGCCCTGCTGACACTTTCGCTGCAGAAACAAGCTGCACATGAATATTCACAGCCAGGCAGTGCCATCTCACAGAAACCAGTGCTGGGAAGGGATGGAGCAGCCTCAGCTTCTCWGGGCACCCTGTGCCAGGGCCTCCCCACCCTCCCAGGGAACAATTCCTTTCCAATATCCCATCTAACCCTGCCCTCTGGCAGTGGGAAGCCATTCCCTGTGTCCTGTCCTCCATGCCTGTGTAAAATCACTTCTCCCCCAGCCTGTGAGAATTTGCTCTGCTGAGGCAGGTCCATTCTACACATGAAAACCCAAGGCTGTTTTTTTAATGGACACATCTTTCCTTCCAAAAACCACCCATCATTACAGTAGCTGAATTTATCAACCCCCCCTTGTTTGCAAAGCCATCTTAACACTCCTTTTTAAAAGTCAGTTCCACACAGAAAACACGAGGAAAAATAACCCTGGAGATTTTCCAACAATCAGGAGAGCTCCCAGTGAGGAGAAGATCTGTCCAGTCTTTGCCTATGACCTGCCCTTTCTCTGCTCAGGTGCCCAGTGCATTGTAGTAACAGTGTGTGAATCCTTTCTGCACAGCTCACACCAATAAAACCAGCTGGAAAAGAGGGAGAATTATTGATTTTAATATCATAAGCCTGATGGAGAGGGAGTTAAGSAGTTCTTTTTAATGCAGAAAACACTCTTCAACGTAAAGCTGTCACTAGTTCAACGCCGTCTTTCCTGACCAAGAGGAAATTTCCTGCACTAAAGCCYGGAGGAGCACAAGAAGAAAAGGGAAGTCATGAAGGAGAAGGAGGTGGAAAAAACTCCAGTACTACCTCATGGATAGTCCCATTCCAAAGCACACAAAAAGAAACCTGTGGCCAGGCAGTGAAAGCCAAAGTTATGAACTCAGTTACCAGCCAGACCCGGAACAGAGACTCTGCCTAGAACTTCAAAAATCCCAGCAAAGTGTCATTCCTTGGTGGTGTTCCATCCTCAAGGAAGTCTGAAGTCATCCCCAGGATCTGATGGGTGGTGTTCCATGACATCCTGCAGGGCCAAAGAGGCCACCCTGCTCCACCCTTTCCAGGAAGGATGGGCCCATCCTCTCCTCCTCCTGCAGGACCTTCCCTTGYCAGGGTCTGCTCCAGCACCTTTCAGCTGCACCAAGGCACAAAAGATAGTGCCTGTTTTCCCCTGTCTAAGAGCAAAAGGAGATTCCCTGAGGCTCCTTTCCACTCTCTAAATAGCCAAAAAGTTGTTCTCCCGAATGGAGGGCCAGAAAGAAATCTGGAGCTGATCTGAAGTCCATCAGTGGAAATTGGTGAAGCCCTTGCTGTCCTCAAGGAAGCCAGGGAAGCGGAAAGCAGAGAACCACGCTCCTCRGAGCTTAAAATATTTACTTAAAACTGGATGCCAGGAAGGTGAACAAAAATAATGCCTGAAAAGACAGAGTGGCTATTTAAGGGATGGAA